CATTTTGCTCAGCACTTTGAACAACTACTGAATGTTCCAGGATCTGTGGACAGAGATGCTCTAGGTGAACTACCAAATATCAGCCCTGATGCAGACATGGATGTTGCTCCGAGCTTCGATGAACTATTGACGGCAATTACCCGTACCCGGGAAAATAAAGCCCCTGGTGGATGTGGAGTCCTTGCTGAGGTCTGGAAGCACGGAGGCTTGAGACTAAAGGAGAAAATGCATGAACTGATATTACATATCTGGAGAGAGGAGGTTATGCCACAGAATTGGAAGGATGCTAGCATTGTTCCCATCTTTAAAAAGGGCAGTAGGAAAGAATGTGGCAATTACAGGGGAATCTCTCTCCTTTCGATTGCTGGAAAGATCATGGCGCGTGTGATCCTCAACCGTTTAGAGAAGTACATAAGTACCCGGATACTACCTGAAACACAGTGTGGTTTTCAGAGAAATCGAAGTACTATTGATATGGTCTTCTGCCTCCGCCAAATTCAAGAAAAATGTACCGAACAGAACATGGAGCTCTACGCTGTATTTATTGACTTTACCAAAGCCTTTGATACAGTCTCAAGGGAAGAACTGAAGTGTGCTGAAGAAGTTTGGCTGCACCGACAACGTTGTAAACCTGGTGAGGGAGCTTCATGATGGTATGCAGGCAAAAGTAGTTCAAGGGAAAGATATTTCATCAGAATTTGCCGTGACGAATGGTGTGAAGCAAGGCTGCGCTCTTGCTCTATCATTATTCTCGCTCTACCTGACAGCTATGCTGCATGTGGCTTTTAAAGACATTCACAAAGGGATTTACATCCAGACAAGACACACTGCAGATCTCTTCAATGTCTCCCACTTCAAGGCAAAATCACGAACAACAAAACACCTCGTCAGAGAGATGCTGTTTGCGGACGACAGTGCTCTGGTGGCTCACACTGCATCGGACATACAGTTGCTTGTTGACAGATTCTCAAAGGCTGCTACCCAATTCAGCCTTAAAATAAACATCAAGAAAACAGAGTGCTTGTATCAGCCGATCAAACTTCACAATCCCCCTCCTGAGCCACAAGACATCACCATCGATCAAATCCCGCTTGTCCAAGCCACGGACTTCACATATCTTGGAAATACTGCTTCCAGCTATTCAAAAATAGAGAAAGAGCTGAAGGCCAGGATTGGGAAGGCAAGTACAGCATTTGGCAAGCTCCAGGAAAGACTGTTGAACAATAGGCATGTGACAATCAGGATAAAATGCAAAGTCTACAGAGCTGTGGTGTTATCAACCCTCCTTTATGGAGCAGAAACCTTGACTATCTACAGAACTCAGGTAAAGAAACTAAATGCTTTTATGATGAGACAGTTGAGAGATATCATGAGCATCAAATGGCAGGACAAGATCACGAATGTTGAAATCCTGAAACGTGCTAACCTCCCTTGATGGCAGACATTCTGATAGAAAGAAACCTTCGTTGGCTGGGACATGTACACAGGATGGATCAGGAAAGACTCCCAAGACAACTGCTGTTCTCACAACTATGCGAAGGGAAGAGAATCAAGGAAGAACCAGACTCAGATACAAAGACGTCGTAAAACGACACATGAAAGTGAGCGGGTTGGAGATCGGCCATCAAAAGCAAACCCAAACCATAAACACTCCTAGTCGTACCGACTGACAGCCCGAGAGAGAGAGAGAGAGAGACAAGGTATACATATAAATAAACCATATCATATAATTTATGAACTGGATTTTACAACTTCAATTATAAGAGAATTTTAACGGCTTTCAAAACTAATAATAATTATTACTCTTATTAACATCGCATTGTTTGGTAAACTTGGATAAGTATAACAAACACAAATCTTAAATATCCAAAGCACCGGTGACATATTTAATGTTAGCAGCAGCGAACGTTGATTCATAGAGCACATTTACCCGCGACATTCTACTCGCGACAGTTAGATACACTCTGAATCTTTCGCTCTCTTCTTCAAAAATTGCTCAGTTTATATTTCTAAGCCTTAGTCAATTCCTATTCCACAATTTATGTAGTTGAGTGGGAACAGAACTTATCTTTCCCTCGCATCAGTAACTTCCTTTATATTATTATAAATCAGGCCAAGAGACTATTACTAAACCTCTCAAGGCTTAAGGCAATGTTTAATCACAATAACATCCTGAAAGCATGCGTTTACTTTGTACTTACATAGGGAGAATCAATGCATTATACTCATCACTTTGACAATACTTCATGAAAATTTTGAGTTCATTGATTTGAATATTGAAAACTATTGATGATGTTCAAAGCATATATCGTTCATAGTCAAACAGGGAATAAAAAAATTCATCAAGCTGCCTACTTTGAATTTTGTTTTTGAATTGGTTGCAGTGACCTGTGTATGACTGGGCTTTGCAAATACATTTGGAAGCTTAATTATTATAGAAGTAGTTGATGGTTCATTCTAAGGGATCAGAGGTAGAAAATCTTGAAGCTTAAAAACTACTACAGTTTGTTAAGCGCCAAAGTTATTCCTGCGGTATTTCTCAAAGTATGCCAAATTGATTGTTAATTTGTAAATGTTTTGCGTAGTTATTAAATCAGAATATTGTAAAATTACTCATGAAGTTTTATTTGATGATAAGTATTCATTTGCTAAAATTATTTAACGCTTTATCAGCCGCTTAGTGACATGCAAGTTGCGTACGCGAGGAAAAGACGATTTTTCTTACCATTCAACAACATTAATTGTGAAGCAGAAATGAGGCAAGGCTTGTAATAACTCGAGTTTGGCCATTATTAACTACAGGGAAAAAGATTTACTCCTATCTGGCTATGAAAAATTGTAACAACAGTCGAGAAAGACGACTTTCAACTTCTTAAACTTGCCATCGAAGTAATGTGGTTTAAAGTACTTAATTGCCTAAGACATCATGTTATTAATCTTATTCATTCAGTATTATTCAATATCCCTAAAGAGCATGCGTTTATTTACAATGAATGTGAATTTCCTTGTTGATCAGTAGCAGATTAAAGGCTTCTTGGGCCCATAGCTGAAATTTTGAATATTGCCTCAACACTAAAATTCAAAGATGACAGAAAGCATAAGCGTGAATTTAAAAACGTTTTATGTATACTGACAACTTAAACCTCCCATCTAACGTTTTTTCTTTAGCTGGCGTTATCGAGCAAAAACTAATGTTTTCAAAGTAATGTTTTTAAGCCCACTAAAATTTCAATATCGTTTATAATGTTCACAGATAGTAGCGGAAACAAAATCTACTTGTAATGCTTAGTTTGCATTTTGAAAATACTTCATGTGGCTTACACTATATTACGTTTCTGCCGATATCTGCCCTAATCATTGCCTAAAAGCGCATGGAACTCTAGATTGTGCTCTAGTCAGGCCAGCACGACCGAATTATATATTCCTAAGCACTGATTGACAAGAAAATCTCACGCCCTCTTCAAATGCGTACAGTCAGCCTTAGTTTTGTAGTGCTCACGACAAAAACATAAATGACTAATAACATATAAAGCTGCATTTCGTTGTACGCGGGCTCAATCGCCGAATATTTTCCTTTGGTCTTGCGCAAGTTTATTGGCACAAGTATTCCAAATACTGTAGAAATATTCATTGTTTTACTGCGTTATTCAATTTATTTTATGTGTGAACATGGAAATCAATCAAGATAGTGAAACGTCGCGTCTAAAGCTCAAAGAGTCAAAGATATCGTTTCTGAGCTTTTACGAAAGATTGTCGATTTACGCAATGTCATAGAATAGAAAAAAATTGCTTGTATGCCACGACTAACCCTTATACTCACACTGAAAAGGAGATAAGGGCTTCCAAACAGTCGTGGTGCGAAAGGAAAGATTGGTTGTGCGCTAGTGTGTAGAAACAACGGTTATTTTGGTGAATTTCTGTCCAACGTCCACTAAATGGACTCAAGCTGATTATTTAAACATGAATAATTTACTGGGCGATTGCCAAAAGCACGAAAAATCAAAGCCACACTTTGAAGCGTACACAACCGATGGCACAAACGACTTATTTGCCACAAACTGCAGCGGAACTTCATGTTTGTTCTCGCTATAGCACGACCAGTTGCTTTTGTCTAGCTGTGATGACTTTTATCGGTTACGTAAAGGGAACAAAGCTATTTCAGCCTTAAAAGTGGTTGCATTTACTATTGGCTTGTTTCTTGCTGAATTTTAATTACAATTAATATTCCAACTATGGAGATTTAGAGAGGTAGGAGCGAAAAAATTAAATTCGTTTCGGAGAATGCGCAAAATGAAGAATGACCAATATTCTGACCAACAACTTAGGATGCTTATTCTACATTTCAGCAAACGTTTCGTTTAAAAAATAATTCTTTGTTTTTATCTTGAATACTATTTTGAAACCACCACAGCGGTTGCAATCCTCCTCCCCCCTAAAACGGTTAAATCAACGGGCACTTGGCTGTAGCCTAGTCAGACAAGACCCCACCCAAAAAAACTCCGCCACTTTTTTGACAATACGTGAAGTTGTGATAATACATCGCCGAAGCATAAAATGAGCATTTTTAAGACATTCCGGGGATGTTCACACTAAAAATGTTGAATTCGTATGACTCGTGTGAATTTTTGCTGCTTATCACAATGCTGCAAAGTTTTCATTATCATGATTTGTTGGTCACGATTTATCATTTTATTCTTAAATTTGTCTTCTTTGGCAGGTAATAAAAGTTTATCGTTTCGTTAAAATCCTGCAATTTTTAATTACATGATGGGCATAGCCAGCGCAAAGCAAATAGTACCTCAGTCGGCACCATTAAAAATTTCAAATGCTAGAATTTTAAAACACCATTTTTTTAGACAAGTAAAAGTTCAAATGTCACCTTTCGACAAGTAGTGTTTGATTAAGGGATTTCTAAAAAAGCGGATAGCCACAAAACTAGCCTTGTCCACTAAGGGAGCTCAAAGAGATTTAACGATGATAAACTGAGCACAAATACTAACCAGTGTGTACTTCTTTTTTACTCAAAAACTTGATTCTTCAAGCGAGCCAACAGCTATAAGGAAGTCGTCAACATCCAGCAATTAAAACAAAACATTACAATGATTTAAATTCCTTTCTCTATTTTCTTACATATAGTTACTTTAAACACAATTTCTAAACAATGTGGCCGAATTTTTGAATCATCCATTCTTAAATCAGAATGAGACTTTCGTGCATTGTGTATTTAACTTTATAATGATATTATTGTGACGCACCTTAAATTCATATGATTTAGAATCGTGCAGACCATTCAGATTAAGTGACAATGAGTCATTTTTTAATCCATACTTTATTTCCTTTGACTTCCATTCTTCCCCTTTAGGACGATAGTACACTTCATAACTATCGATTATAAGAGAAGCAGAATAAGGTTTTATCCAGGATATTTTTAAACTGCTTTTTGAGTTCCTTCTAACGCTCATCTTTAAGATTTCAATACCTAGCAAAGAAAATACAATAAATTTAACTGTACACTGAGAGAATTTTGAGATTGGTATATGTTGTATATTCTATTAGTTGTATATTCTATAGTTGCTTTTCTACTTTCATGTTAAATCACGTTCAATAAAGTGCATCTCATTGGAAGAATATTGTTTTGCTGTTGAACACTATAACCGTCAGAACAGTCCATCTGTGCCTCAGAAGTTTATGCTTTTGAGTTTACTGGAGTCCTGCATGTTTAAGAAAATAATTATAAGCCACCATTTCTTGTATTATATTACAGCCACTAACCTTGAATAAATTCCAATTTTCGCTTAGTTTACCTGGATATTTGCCAATTGCTTGCACCTAAGTAGAAGAGTATGGTTAATCAAGGACACAACACATGAGAAATGCTCTTTTACATTAACTTTGTCATTATTTTTGGAAAAATCGCCATTTGTTGTATCAAAATTGTTTTGACTTCCATCTTAACAATGTTTAATTTAACAATTAATTTTACTTTTTTTGCAGCTATTTCAAACACCTTGAGATTATTACGTAGAATAACAGGCACTAAACATTCTTTTGTTAAAATTACCAGACAGATATATTTTGCAACGAGTTTTAATTGCATAGTTCGATCATTTAATTGATTAATTAATGGTTGGCGTAAGTTTAGCAGTAGACTCTGGAATAACAAGAAAGCTAACATCGCCGCCCGGTTTGAAGCCAACACTGATGTTCTTTTTGTGAAAGTATGGTCCGTTTCCGTACGCCGTTCTGAAGGTAGCTATAATCCAGATTTCATTGTGAGTTATATTAAGCTTTTTTACAAGAATAAAAAATAGCTGAAATATATGTATGCATGTCAATTTTTTATACTTTTTGATGCATGGAGAAGTTTCGGATGAAAAAAGGCTAGTTTGGCAAAAAGCAAAGCTGTAGAAAAATATTTACAAAGCATTGTTCAATGTCATTTTTTTATATTTTTCGATGCATGGAGAAGTTTCGGATGAAAAAGGTTAGTTTGGCAAAAGCAAAGCTGTAGAAAAATATTTGCAAAGCATTGTGCATGAGGAAACCTTTAAAATGTGTCTTCTACTTATATCTTATTTTTCAATAATTTTAATCTATTTGATGTAGGTGATATGACAAATAAAATCTGAAATCTTTGACTGAAAACTTAAAGCAATAATCGCGAGAGACTTGCCGAGTGGAAATCGGATTCGTGTAATAAAAATTAATGCCCAACATAAAGTTCTGATTAGAGCCATAGAAATAGACAAAAAAACAAATTGTAAAATTAAATTTATTGTAACGTTTCGTCTTTACTCAAGACATCTTCAGACAAAGATGTCAAAGACGAAACGCTACAATAAATTTAATTTTACAATTTGTTTTTTTTTTGTCTATTTCTATGGCTCTAATCAGAACTTCATGTTAAGCATTAATTTTTATTACACAAAAGCAATAATCATCATCATGTTCAAATTATCCCTCATTGCTCAATGCTCAATCCTGGTATTCTAGCTGTCACAGTTTGTTAATTATTTTCAGAAAAATGAGTGTGTTATCGAAATTTTTTTTGTAAAATACCACATATTCAAACGTAAAATCAACACAACAAATTGTGAAAACGGTGCCATAAAAGTTGTGTTTTCTAGATTTGTGACAATCCACCCATACAACATGGGTATTTTATACCTGTTGTGGTGCTTGCCTGCTGGGCTCAGTAAACGTTACATTTTTATTAAATGTTTTTCTAGCCTTATTATCTAATCTAAGTGTAATTTTAAAATTATTATTACGTCATGGGTTAAGTATTTGCGTTAAGGTCAGTCGTATAGGCGTACCAGGACAATATCTTCAAAAAAGCACTCTATAGTCGCCATTTCAGCTTAATTACTTTAATAACGCATTATCGCCTTTGTAAGCTTTTCAAATAGCTCTCAAAATTATGCTTATCACATATACTAATAATACACCTCAATTTCATCACACCAATATTTACCCACAAAAAAAAATTGAAATTTTCTTTCGTGATAAATTGTTTCGAGCTTCTATGACGGTGATTATTACCTTTGAAAAAAATGTTTGTTTATGGACCGGTAGTTGTAATGATTAAAGGAAAATCTCTGTACGCCAAAACTTAGCATTTCTGTGAAATCAGCTTGTTTTGTCCCAAATCAACCATCATCAAAACCACTTTCATGAGTTTGGAATTATCTCAGACATATTAAATTTTTTTACCGTTATACTGTGTTTTCCAACGTTTGATAACTCATCAATCACGATTGATGGATTGCGACTTTCAAAATTATTTTTAAGCTCCTTTGATCTTTGGTTATTTTCATCGTGGTAACGTACAACGTATTTTTTGAGATTTCCGCAAAAGCTGAAAGGACGCTTCCAAGACAGTTGAATGCTTTCATTCGGCAGCATATTGATTGTAACATCTCTTGGTTCACTTGGTTTCAAACATGCTAAAAAGTATTGTCTTATCAAATGAAAAGGATAAACACTGAATAGAACGTAGTAATTAAAATGTAATCAAATGGGAAAATGTATGGAAAAAAGTCTGGCTTTAACAAAAACAAACTTGATTATCCCAAAAGCTTTGTTTCACTGTGAGCAGAAACGAATTAACGGTAAGTCAAAATAAAATTCAACATCTCATAACTAGACACATTTTTATTATGCAAAAATACATGCACTTAAAAAACTGCACTGATAATTTATTCAGGAACTCCATAACAAATATCGTCGCTGTCAATGTATTTGAATTTAGCATTGATTTGCTATAAGTTATTTTGACCAATGCCCCTTGCCCCAAATTCTGCTTTCTTCCCTTTCCCTTACTGACGGATTTTTGGAAACCAGTAAGAAATTTTTCCTTTACACAACTAAAAACTTTAGAAACATATGAAAGAAATTTTTAATAGATACTGTTTATGTAAAATGGTATAAAGGCATATAGGTGACGGTTAAATTGATCCATTTTATTTGTATAAAGTGAAGTACATCCCTCACATAGATCAAGTTTCTGCCAAAAATGTGGAGTGTTTATTGTGCAATACTATATTATATATCATAATCAATTGAACCTCCTGTTATTGGAGGCTCACCTTGACTTCCCTAAACCTAATCTTGACTTAGGGAATTGCGTTCTAAATCATTGACCGCAAAATAGGTTTCTGAGCAAATCAAAGCTCGCTCTTTCACCAAAGAAACCTTTGAAATGATATCATAAGCCGTAATTGGTTGCTCATTTAAAAATATATGCTGTTTTCTTTTGAGGGGAAAACTGGACGTCGAAATTTGCATGTCTGTAATACTTACAGCCAGTCTTTGTGGAAAAATATATTTCCTTTGAATTAATTGTGAAACTTTGATACATTGCTGACAGTCGAACGACATAACTTGTATTTGATTGAAGTTTGTCAAGGTTGTATGATCTTTTGTTTGCTTCCAAAGTTAAAATTTTTTTGTCTTTGATGCTCTCGACCTGGTGGTACTGTATTTCTTGGTTTTCAATATCATTTCTACCTTTCCCACTAATACTCCAAGACAGATATCCAGAATTTGCATCTATTTTCGTAACATTAACTTGACCAACAAAGTATGGTTTTCCTGCAAAAAATGCGTAAATGAATGGAATCAAATACATTTCATGTCTAATAGATGGTGACAAAGGGTAATGGCAGATAGCAGCTTCATAAGAGGTATGCTCGGAACGTATCATAATTTGTTTCCTGTCACACGTTATCTTTATCCATTTATATATCCGCCCGTATATTTTCAGATGATAACATAAACCATGCATGTTTGTGGATGAAGATCGTCTAGATTAGTAGAGTCCAGAGAAGGACTGTTTGTATTGACGTAGACTGACGTTATATGTTTGTAAATGATGATCGTCCAGGTTAATAAAGTCCTGAGAAGGACTGTTTTTGATGTTGTTGACTGACGTTTCGACAACCTTAGCGGTAGTCATCTTCAGAGTCAAATGAGGAGTAAACGTCAGGTTAGCCGTATTTGTTGTCTGGTTCTTACGTCATTGTATTGTGTGTACAGGAAATGTGTATTGTCATTGTGGATTAGTGTGAAGTGAAATATTTTATTTTTAGTTGTGATGTGTGATTTAGGTGTGACGTTTTAGTTGTAGTGTGTGGTGTCAATTGTGTATTGTCATTGTGAATTAGTTTGAAGTGTAATGTTTTAGTTGATCGTTTGTTTGTATTGTGAATAAGTCGTTTGTAAGGTGCCGGTAATTGCTGTGATCTGTTCAGGGGTTTGTTCCAAGTTGGTATACCAACTTTCTAATGTAAGCCGTTGTCTATAGTCAGTACTGTAAGTGATGCATTTTGCCGAGTCCCAGTCAATGTTGTGCTTTGTGATTCGGTGATGTTCGGCAATGTGATTAGTTTTGTCTTGTTTCTTAGTAGCTCGTTTGTGCTCAGTAAGTCTTATGTTTAAGTTCCTGCCAGTTTCCCCGATATAGGAGGCGTGGCAGTCGGAGCAGTTTATTTTGTAAACTGCACCTTGTCGTTCGTTGGGTTGTTCTTTGTCCTTTATGTTCGTTAGTACTTGTCGTAATGTTGTGATTGGTTTATGTGCGACACGTATGTTGTATGGTCGTAAGATACGCGAGATAGTCTCAGACGTACCTTTGATGTAAGGTATCGTTGCTGTTGTCAGTGAGTTGTTCGTTTCGTTGGGTTCGTTGGGTTTGTAAGTGTTGCGTTTGATAAAGTCTGAGTTTTAGTTGTTTTTGTCAAAAACACGTTTGAGATAGTTGTTTTCGTTTTGTAGAGCGTCCGGTGAATCACATATGATTTGTGCACGTCTTGTTAATATTCTGATTGTGGTGGCTTTGTGAGATGTAGGGTTGTAAGATGATTGGTCTAGTAGTCGGTCAGTATGTGTTGGCTTGCGATAAACTGTTGTTCCTAGTTTTTGATTGTCATGTTTTACCAAACAGTCGAGAAAAGGAAGAGTTCCGTTTTCTTCGACATCTTTGGTAAATTGTATGTGGCTGTTCTGTTTGTTGATGTGAGTATGGAAGTCATCAATCTCGTCTGCATGTAGTGCTGTGATTGTGTCATCTACGTAGCGAAACCAAAAGGTAGTGCATGTTTGTAAGTCATGAGTGCCCGTTCCTCTATAGATTGCATTACAATTTCAGCAACTACAACAGAAACGGGCGAGCCATTGCTGTCCCATGTAATTGTTTGTAGTGTGTTCCTTTGTATTGGAAGTAAGTCGAGGTGAGGCAGAGCTCTAGTAACTCCATAATGTCTTCTGTCGTTAATGGCAGTACGTCCGTGGTGTTTGTAATGAGGGTTTTTGTACAAGTAAGTGCCAGATTAAGTGGAATACTGGTGAACAGTGATTTCACATCAAAAGACACTAGTATATAGTTGTCTGGTATTTGTATAGTGCACAGTTTTTTAATGAAAGTTTCAGTGGATTGTAGCTTGTGTTTTGATTTGTTTGTTAGTGGTTGCAGTATGTTAGTCAAGTACTTTGAAAGTTCGTAAGTAGGCGAACCACAGAATGATACAATTGGTCGCATGGGTATTTGTGGTTTGTGAAGTTTTGGTAGTCCGTATAGTCTGGGTGGTCGTGGTACTGAACATCTGAGTCGATAGTAAATACGTTCAGATATAATGTTAGATTTTCTCATAGAGAAGATCTTGCTGTTAAGTTTGCGTACTAGTGATGGTGTTGGGTCTCGTTTGAGTTGTTCGTACGTTTGTCTGTCGTTAACAAGTGCGTCCATTTTAGATTATACTAGTAATATACAATGTTAGATTATACTAGTAATATAAAACAAAAGCCATGACGTGTCAAAGCCGTAGACTGACGTGTCGTTAACTTTAGCGGTAGTCATCTCCAGAGTCAAGTGAGGAGTAAACGTCAGGTTAGCCGTAATTGTTTTCTGGTTATTACGTCATCGTACTGTGTGTACAGAAAATATGTGGGTGTGTGGGTTTCAATTAGCCACTTCAAAATCTGCATGAACTGGGCACGAATTTGAAGCGCGTGCGGCTTTATGGGAACTTAAATGACTTCCACCATTGTTTATGACTTGAGTTAATAGCGAGACGCATAGTAATTATGCAAAAGAAATGAATGTTTCTCAAAACGAAATCTATAGCCAGCTTCTAAATAATGAGGAGAACATATTGGAGGAATGAGATATTCAAGGGATCACTTTACTAAAGCCTGTTCAATAGTGAAACATGGCTATATTAAAACGATGCCTTCTCTGCCGTTGAGCCAAAATCTCAGGAAACAGAAATGACTTGGTTCAAAGGTATAAAATAAACATTTACTCTCATTTTCTTTGGTTGTGTAATAGAAATTATAACTTAAACTCGCTGTGTTTTAGGGTGAAAGATTACCTTCAAAATGATCTGGCATCGCAACTTTTCGATCAAAATGGAAGTATAAACATTGCAAGAAAGAAGACGAAGCTAGGTAAGCTGGCCGTAAACCCAACAAAAAAAATTTTCCTTGTTTGGATTTTCTACCGATTTGGGATTTCTGCCGATTTTACCCATAACTTTCTCTGGAAATTCATGATAGAAGACGTAGAGCAATAGAGACAATTGTGTACTGAGAAGCCATTGATAAAAGGCTTCAACCTTTTTAAATCTGGGCATGTAATACAAATGTATTCAAAACAATAGGACGACGTTTTCTTCAAAGGAAGTAAAGTTTGCCTCAATGAAAGAAGGGAAAATTTACACTGCCAATATCATACTCAATACAAATGGAATGGTTGTAACTTGTAAGAGCAAACTCTGGTTGCCCAGCTGGTGTAGATGTTCGATGTGCATGTAACAGCCAGTTTGTTTTGTTTAGAAAGCTATTGTTGCTTGAAAATAAAGAGAAAGAGAACTTGGAAACCCATGTACAACCAAACCATGCACGTGGAATGCTTCTCGTCAGAAAAAGATTGACCCATCTCCTATTAGACAAATGAAGTTTGCGAAGCATGTGTGGAACAAGGAAAAGAAAGATAAATTCTTTCAAGAGATTGATGATGTTGGAGCCCCCATCAAAGGACAGTTACTAGATAGAAGCTTGAGAAGTTCCAATTGATGGTTAAAGAAGTTCAAAAAAATGACAGGGAGATTACTTGGGCTTTCATTGATACTTCCCCAGCTATTAGAAGTGTAGTCATGTCCATCAATTCATGAAGACAGCATTTCTCCTACTGACATCAATCATACTGCCAATCAATTTAAACTTACCACCCCACCTCATTCCAAAGTGCAAGGTCCGCTGTCTATTGATGACATAAAATAGAAGGCTGAAAGAGCCAAGAAAAGGTTGTTTGACTTGAGTCAACGTCGTGACGAAATTGAACGGAAAACTAGAGACCAACACCAATCAAAATTGTGGTATACCATTCGCCAACCTATAATAACTGCATCCAAAGCAAAGCGATGTTTGCTGAAAGACACTAACAGTCCAACAAATTCAATAGCAGCAATGTTAGATTATACTAGTAATATAAAACAAAAGCCATGAGAGGAGGAATTGAATGAGAAGGAAAGCTAATTGAGAGGTAATCAGATTTGTATTTCTGATAAACTTGAATCTGTTCTCACTATAAAGTTCAATAATTAACTTCTTTATTATCACTAGTAAACTTATTTATTTTGGATACTTTTGTTAGGTATGAGTATTCTAGTGGAAATATTGTGGCCAAGTCTGGGTTTGTCATCTCAGCTTAGCACCCTTCTATAGGAGCATCACCTGATAGATATATTAATGATGGTGCAGGTGTCACTGAAGTAAAAATGGTAACTTTAAAGGAGGGGGAGTCACCTAAAGAAACTTTGTGTCGATTGTATATTTATAAGAAGAAGGATTGGGAGCTGACCATAAATTGTGTACAGCGTTATTATGCCCAGATGCAGCAAAAAATGCATTTTACAGGATGTTCATACTCCATGTCATTATTTCTAATGGAGCTTGGATGTATATTGATGTCATCCCATTCGACCAACCTTTCTGGGAAAATGCCGTATTTAAATTTAAGCAATTCTATTTTAAGTATGTGTTCCCAGAAATTGTGTACCCAAGAATTCTACACAATCGTCTTCGCTGGGGAAAGGGAATTTCTTTTCCTTCTTATTTTTCGTTGAGAATTTGTTTAGTGAGATACGATTATATGATACTCTATGTAAGTAATTGCACAAGTGTATTGTATATTAATGGCAAGATATATTGTATATTAGCCCTTATCAGTAGGAAATCAATAACAGTTTATTCAATAGTTGCCTTTGCACTCCTCAAATTTATAATAATATACTTTTAAGTGATGCTGTCAATGCCATATTTGTCATTATATAGTTATCAAAATTTTTTGTTTTCTACAGTTCTTTAAAGAGCCACTTAATAGTCATTCACCAATATAAATATGCTGTTAAAAGAAATATTTAAGTTTGTAACTACAACTTAAACTACAATCAGGTCTTTGGTTAGCAATATGTAATTAATAATAAAATAAAACATTATAGAATTATAAGAAAATAAGGTCGTACATGTTGGTCGTATCTAATACAATTTTTCATTTTTAGTGGTGGTAAAAAATTTGACAAACAAGCTGTAAC